CCCAGACTGACCCAGCCCTGCCCAGCGAACAGCCCAGCAGCGCGCCTCCCCCAGCACCAGTCAGGCGCATTCATCCCACAAACACTGTTCCCTGCTTCATGTCCAGCACCGTGGAGGATAACGCCATGCCTGCCCTTCACCCCGCAGTGTGACCAGGCTCAGAGGCCCAGGTACGGCCTGTGTCTTCATCCTGAGGACAGTAAGGAGCCTCTGATGGGTTTTAAGCAGGGAGACATCTGAGCCAGCTTTGCCCTCAGAGGTCACTGGCTGCTGTGAGAAGGCAGGCTGGGGGAGCTCGAGTGAGTTAGAGGACATTAGTTAGGGGCCGATAGGTAACTTAGGCCCAGCAGGATGGGGTTTGGACGCATGGGCCTCGAACACGGTGCCTTGGGACTAGCTCATTAGTATCGGCTGAGGCACGTGTTAAACGTCCAGATCTCATCTCTGGAAGTGAGGGCTGCGAACTATTCCTAATAAACTTTCTAAAGGCCACTGCTGTATTGCCAGGCTTGGAAACCATTGTCCTAGACCAAAACAAGGGTGTGGGGTGAAGAGAAGGGAGACATGCTGAGAGGCTGAGGGGAGGGCAGCAGGGCATGGTGGCTGCCACAGTGGAGTCTAGGATGAGGAGGTGTCAGAGTTCTGGCTTGGGGAGGGTGGTGGTATTTGCAGAGATAAAATGCCGCCACTGACAGAGGAGGCACAGGTGTGGGCAGGACTGGGTTGGGAGCGGGATGAGGAATTCAGTTTGGACAGAATAAGTTTGGGAAAGGATTCTGGTCAGGAGTCAGAGGCCCCGGCACTGTGGCACATGGCAGGCACTCAATACACCTATTCCGAAGTGTACATTTTGAAGGAGAATACAGCTGCTCACTGAAGGTCTGCAAGTGGCTAGGATGACCCAGGAATGTGCAGAGGGAAGCGAGGGCCCAGCTGGAGCTCTAAGCAGCAGCAGCATAAAGGGAAGGCCCTCAGAGGAGAGGAGGAAGCAGGAAGGAAGTTAGGAGAGAGGGTGGGCACCCAGCCTGGCTGGCTCTTCTTGGCCTGGCTGTGCACACTCAGGAGCCCAGAATGCAGATATGTGGGTGCACATAGCCAGCCACCCACATGGCCTGTGACCTGTCCTCATCCCAAATGCCTTAGCAAAGGTGGCAGACACTCATGTTCCCACCGAGGCCCTGGCATTCCCAGGACTACCCCTCTTCCAGCCCTGCAAATCCAGGATCCTATTATCACTGAGGCCTCATCAGAAGAGGTTAAGTCACTTTGGGACCTGGAGTGCCTTACACTGATGGAAAGATGGCAATCAAACCTGAACTCGCCTGAGCTCTCAGACAAAACGCTGAGGGCATGTGAGAAGAAAGGGTCTGTGTGCAGAGTGGAGGTGCTCACGGGACTGCCTGGGCCTTGACCGGGATATTGACAGAGGGAATGAAGGGGAGGGGTCTGGTGTGTCTGGGACTCGTGTGTGTTCACTCTGATACATCACGTCTTACTTGCATGTATCAGTGCCCATGTAGAAAGGGCGTGTCTAGTGGGAGTGCTCCTGAGTGCCCCTGAGTACACAGGGCACGGGGGAGGGGGGTCAAATGTGCAGTTTGGATACAAGTGTCTGAGTATAAACATAAGGGTGGGTTGAAGTGCATGGTATGCACACACGTGTGTATGTACGTGGAGGAAGGTGACTCTGGCCCAGGGGGGCGTGCCTAGTGACGGCGAGGACCACAGAACCCTCCACTGACCAGCATGTTCTCCTGCGGGCGGAGCACCAGCTGCCTGCCCACTGCTGCCCACTCCTCCTCACACTGCTGCTCCCGGCCTGGGCCAGGAGCCCTGTGGCTGCAGCTAGCTCCATCTTGAGAAACGGAGAAAGGCCTAGAGACCAGGAGCCGGAAATAGTGTGGGATTTCCGTGGTGTTGGTCAGCTTCAGGTGGTGGGTAGTCACCAGCTCACTCAGCACCTGGGTGGCCACAGAGGTGGGAGAGGCTGGGGATGCATCCCCTTTCCTCAAGCCCATGGCTTTGGGGTAGGGGTAGGGGTATGAGGGGAGGAGACTCAGACTATAAGACCTGTGCCTCAGAAGGGTCTACAGGGACATCTGAGGTCCAGGTAAATTGGCAGGGCCACGGGGTGCAAAATACTCACCCCAGAACACGGCTGCTCGGGGATGAGGTCACTGGCCTGGAGCCAGAATTCCATGCCACCTCCGTAGTCCAGCTCCATACTTAGCCTGCCATCAACAGGGGCCAGGTTGGGCCTCTGGGGCCTCTTGGCCATCCCCACTCTGCTCATCTGGCCCTGGCCAGCCTTCCCCTGGGCTCACCTGCTGGCTTCTCCTCCCTCCCATTCCCATCATGTCTGGCCCCCAACAGTGCCTAGTAAGGGTGCTCCCCACAGGGGGATGGAGGGAGGCTGGGTGGCCCAGCCGACTCACTGTGCAGGCCTCACGTAGCTATGCAGGTCCAGCCTCAGGGGCTGGACGTCGAAGCCTTGCAGGCGCCGCCTCCTCCCTGGAAGCTCCCTTTCCACCTACCGAGCCAAGTGGATCACTGGCCATCTCTGGGCTGGGCAGGCGGTGTGCTACCCAGGAGACAATCAGTGTCTGTGGCGCCACCCCAGGCCAGGAGGGCTCACCTTGTTGTCTAAGCTCATGAAGCCCAGGGCATAGCCAGTACACTCCACCTTGTGCAGGATACTGGGGCCAAGGACCACCGGTGTGAAGGAGATGGAGATGGTGCTGCTGCCCCCTGCAGGGACCACCTGGCGTAGGGACAGCAGCCTCAGCGCTGCCCCAGGCCACCATCTGGCCAGTGCGGGATTCTACAAGGCAGTTCCCAGCCCTGTCCAACTCACCACCTGCTTGGGCCTGACACGGTACAGATGGTCAGAGGGCTCTCCTTCGTGCCCCTGCAGAACGACCGAGATGATCTGTGGGTTACTACAGCTGCTCTCGGCCTGTCATCAAGATGTCAGTGAGGTTCACACAGGCTCAAAGCCCACTGGCCATACCTGGGCAGCCAGCCCGCCCTGTCCCCGCTTCTCACAGCCTGAGCAGCTTCATGGCTGGACTCAGATTCGTTAGAGAGACTTGAAGACAAGAAGGAGATGCTGCTCTCGGGGGTCTCAGGGCACAAGAGGTTGTTTCCGTCTTGGTCCGGCAGCGGGAAAGGTGGCCCATAAAATACCAGAAGCTCCACCAGCCGGTCCTCCCTGTCTTCAGGAATATAGGTCTCCCAGTCCAGGCGGATGTCTGAAGCAGGGGTAGGGGGAGAGGAGCAAGGAATAAGAAAGGAGCAGACAGATCTTCCCTGCACCCCCAGCTCCTTGCAGCCCCTCAGAGTCCACCCATTCTCCCCTATTCAGTGTGGAGCAGGGACTTGCTTCCTCTCTAATGCCACTTAAGGCAATTCTTGTTGAAAGAAGGATCCATAGGCTTACACCGCCCGGCTCTGTCGCCCCAGCCCTACAGATCATAGGACCAGAACTTCGTGTCCAAATGCACGAACCCAGGCACTCTGTGCTCTCTCCACAGCCTCCACACCTGGCCTATTTGCTGACCTCCCTGGGCCTTCCAACTCATGTATCCCCTACCTTCTCCCCCTCCATCTATCAGCCCCCGTCCGCATTGACGTCCTCCCCCAGCCAGGCTAGTCTTTGAGGGCCACCATGTCGACTTCTGTCTTGCCAGGATTCTCAAATCATAAAATAAGAAGAAATATATAGATTGGCTTTTCCTCTTAAAAGATGAAAGAATGTCAGATTGGTGTTTTAAAAAGCTTGGCTCCATTTATGAAGAAACACATATCACAGTCACAAAGGGTGAAAACAGAGGGACGAGCGAAGAGATACCTAGGAGAATGCAATAGCGACCAGGGACAGCGATGTTAATATAAGGGGAGGTGGGATTTAAGCACTGAAGGGGGCGAGGACGAACTCTGCGGGGTGATACAAGGCATCCTTTGTTAAGGTTTAGTTCTCAAAAGCATCTAACAATAGAGCACTTAAAAACATAAAGCAAAACTACTGGAAATGCCAGGAGAACTTGATAAAGATGTGGTGAGATAGTCCACTTCAATACATACACCCATTCTAATTATCCGGATCTGGTAGACAAGAACAAGCAGGATCGCACAGAGCGGCAGTCCTTTCTCCCAACTTTCTTTTAAATCACCGGAAGAACTTAAAAACCACAGTGCCCAAGCCCTGCCCCTATGGACTCTGGTTCAGTTGGGGTGGAGGGCCAAGCCTTGATCCTCACCCAGAAGTTCTGACTGGTTCTGAGCTGGCCATAGCTCTTCCTGTGGCCCAGACACTCTTCATCCCCATACACCCCCTCAGGCCCTGGCTTGCCCTTCCTCCTGGACTCAGCCTGAACACCCCTCCACAGGGCAGCCCGGACCCCTTGATACAGTCCCCAGCACCCTGGCCTTTTCTGGTAGTCATAATGTATTTAATATGCCATGGCAGTCCCATCACGTCTGTCCTGCCCATCAGGACAGAAGCCACTCAGCAGAAACCTAGCTGTCCTGTTTCCTCTGTATCCCCAGCTCCTTGCACAGCACCTAGCATGTAGCTCAGGTACTGCTGGCTAAAGGAATAAGAAAAGGTGCCCGCTGCCAGTGTCTGTCCCTGACAAGAGCTGGGTGTCTGTGGCCCTATGGGCATTGGGAGACCCTGGGTTGGGCAGAGTCAAGTCCCGTCCTCAGGGATATAAGTGGCTCTCTCTGAAAACACTCAACTGGCTTGGTCACTTCCTACCTTGGCCCTCAGGGGTCTCCCTCAGTAACCACAGGCCACCTGGATTCCTGGGGGTCCCAGTCATGGGCCATCAGCTTCCCCCAGCCCACCACATGGCACAGTCTATAGCAAGAACCCCAATTTATCTCGTGTCTCACCACAGGGGCTGGAGTTATTCAGGCGAAGGACCCGGGTAACTGTATCTCCTCCAGAGACCTGGGTGCTGAACCTGGGGGCGGGAGACCAGGATCAGCACAGCCACCACCAGCACACACCTTGCAGGCAGGATTACTTCAGAGAGGAGGGCTGGGGTTAGGGCTCAGGCAGAGAGGAGGCTCCATAGTGGTCTGTCTTCATCCTGGAGTCACCAAGACCCAGGGCTGGAGTGCTCGGTGAACTGTGACCCAGGGCTGTTCACTGCCTTGGTAACCATCCCCACCCCCCACCCCACTCCCGCCCCACCTACAACCACACTGACAGATGGACAGATTTCACCTCAGCTGGTGTGAGGGGAACTAACCTCAGGCCACACTGACAACTTGCTACTCTGTCCCCCAACAGCACTCTGAGATGTGCAGGTAGCCGCCGTGTCCCCTGAGGCCTCTCCCCTCGGGGCAACCCTATCCTGAGGCTTTCTTGCTGGGGAGCACCAGGTGGCCCTGGGTCAGCCGAAGAGCAACAACCCAGGCTGGAGGCCAGAGGGTGTCAAGGGGGCAGAGGAGGAGGCTGGCGGTGGGGCACCTGATGACAGGCTCCTTCTGGAACTGGTCAGTGGTGTAGTTGGTCCTCAGAGAGCTGACGGGGCAGCCTACCACTGCCATGTGCACTGGGATGACAGATGGTGGCAGGTCTCCCACCTGCAAACACACGCCGATCCTTTGTCGCTCTTTGTCACCAGCTGCTACCGCCTTCCTTGCCTCTCCATCCCCTCCCTGCAAGGCCTTTCGTTTCCCAGCCAGCCCGAGGTCTCCATAGCTTGGTTCCAGCTGAGTCTAGACTCATTCTCCACTGTCTGATGCTCTCACCCCAGACACCCTGATGGCCTGGGGCTGCCTGGCCTCTGAGCCCTGGCTTCCATGCCCTTCTCTGTGTCTCTGCTCTCCTGTCCTGCCCCCGAATTGTACAGGTCTCCCAGCCTGACCACCTTTGGCTTCTTACGGCCCCTCTGATCACATTTTTGTATCTTTTAAATGGAAAGAACATTATTTCTCTCTGCTAATGAAAATAAATGTTTATTTTTTAAATTTAAAATATAGAGTGCAACAGTCACCCATAATCCTACCCCCTCAGCATGACTCACTGTCAACAGTTCACGTACGATCATCTAGACAGACTTCTTTTGTGTACATAAAACAGATATAAATGAGAGCATATGGCGCGCATGCTTTTGTTTTGCTAATCTTCTCTTTTTTTTTCCTCACAACATATGATAATTTTATTAATGAAGGTTTACAGCGTCATTTAATGGGCTGTATGGATGGAGCTCATATTTTTATCAAATCTTCTACTGATGAATATGGAGGCTGAGGTGCCCCCGCCAACGCCCCCTCCCCCCCAATTATAAACAAGCTGAGAAGAAAAGGAAACTGGTATGATGTTATTAGTTTACATATCCACTTTTCCTCGGGGAAACTGTGTGTGTGCCCAGCACATGGCCGAAGCACCTGCAAAGGGCGGTATGAATTTCCCACCATGCCCACTCGCAGTGCCTGAGAGCACCTTTACCCCGGCACCTCTACCAACAACTTTTAAACCTTGCGACTCTTACCAAAACCAGCATTTCAGTGTGACTTTAATTACCACAGATGACATATTCTATATGTTCATCGGTCACCTGAATCATTCCTGAATTGCCTATTCATTCTCTGCCCACCTGGGATGCTCTGTCTCCCTTATTGTTAGATAGAACTCTCTGCATATTGAGGTGATCAACGCTTTGTCATACATGATACAAGCAATATAAAGCAATTATCTACTATAATTAACTTGTCCTATATACTAAATAGTTTATGAAAATCTTCTATGCCATAACTAAATCGTGCGGGATGATGTATGTGTTTTATCCCTCCATAATAAACTAAGAGCTCCTTGTTGCTATTGTCTATTATCTTATTCATCCCTGTATCCTCCACAGTCTAGTGGCCTGCATAACAACCCATACACAGTAGGTACTCAATTCATGCTGAATGAGTAAGTAAATGAATGAACTGATGGGAGAATAAATGAATGCACTGAGGGCTAGGAGAGGATTTGGCTCAGGGAGGACATTACTGTTTATCTGCACTTACTCCCCGCTCCAGGTCTTGGGTCCTGGCCCAGGTAGGCGGCCTGATTCCTCTGCCCTCCTCAGTGCAGCCCCAGCCTCATAGGACCTCACGGGAAAAGGTGTGGAAAGTTCCACTGCTCCCTAGGATGCTTGCTGCCTGAATCCTAGTAGTTGTTGCGAATGCAAATGCCTGTCCCCAGCTCAGTGACCATCGTTTTTCTACTTGGTGAGATGCGAGAGGCTGAGGGCCACGTGTTGGAAAAGAGAGAGCCTGAAGGCAAGGGCCAGGGTCAGGCCCCTGGCGCCCCAGGCCATCACCCACTTGCAAGCCCTCACCGTGCAGATGAGGTTGTCCCAGTACTCGCCCCACATGTTCGCACAGCCTGTGATGTCGATGGGTAGCTGCTGGTGGGCTCCCAGCATGCCCTGGGAAATGTGGGGAAAGAAGGCAGCTCCTTTCCCATGAGACAACATGTTTTCCATAAAATCTGGGGGAGAACCAGGAAAGGGGAATGAGGTCCAAACCCTCAAGTGTTAGCAAAGCACTGTATCAGACAAGCCACCCTATAGGTCCAGCGAAAGACTGCTTCTGGGAGCCCAGCATTCAGGGGTCAGCCTCTCTCACCTCCCATGGGCCCAGGCTCCAATGGAAGCCCTTCCTCTTGAGCTGCCACCCATCCCAAATCAAATCCAGGCCCTGTGCACGAGCCTTATGCCCTATCAAGGAGATGGCTTCATTCAAAAGAGGGGTGCTGTCAGGTGGAGGGCCACAGCTGTCCCAGGGACCTCGCAGGAAAAGACACTGCGGTGGCCAGGATGCTGTTGCTGCATCGCCAGCCCGCATCCTCAGGAGGCCACGGAGAACCCCACTCCGGCTGGACCTGGGCTCGGTGCTTGCCCTGGGGCTCTCTTACCCAGCTGCTCTTTCTTGGCCAACTTCTTGCGAATCCGCGCTGTCTTCAGCAGGGCGGGAGAGATATCGGGGCTTTTCCAGATAGGACACAGAAATCACAACAAGCCATCTGGGCCTATCCTCAGGCCTGAGCCACCTCTCCTGGTAACCAGCCTCTCACCAGGTACCCAGCAGAAGGTGGTGGCCCAGGGGACAGCTGGTCAGGTCTCCTTCACCTTCCCCGGTCTTTGCTCCTGCCACACCCCTACCACCTGAAACCACCCACGGGCCCCAGGGTCTGCCCCCCAAGAAAATCAGGAGGGCTCTAGGGTAGGAAGCTCCTCTTCCCCAGGCTCTGTGCCTTGGTGACCCCTGGAGGCAAGTGCAGCCCAGACTCCCCATCTCTTGCCCAGCTTTCTGCAACAGGCCCATTTCCAGTTTTTCCTGCTTGCACCTGTCCAGCTGTGAGTGCACACTAACTTTTCTGGAGTGGGAAAGTTGATGGCTTAGAAATTGTTGGTGGCTCCCCACCACCCACAGCGGTGGTTTGTAAATTGGATTCCCCAGCCTTAGGTGATCTGGCAGTGAGGTGTTCGCAGTAAGGTGCTAGCAAACTGCCCATTTCTGTGGTGTAAATAACTTTCTCTGTGGCTGATTTCAACTTACAGCTTTGCAGAATGCCTCACTGCCACATCTCTGCCCACACAGTTCCCTCCACCTCCAGTAACTTCTCCCTCATCCACTGGCCTGAATATGGCCTGGTTTATCAGAAGCCCTCCACCACAGCAGGCCAGGCCGAGGAGATGGGGCCACAATCCCAGCCTCTGCCACAGGCCCTCTCAGGGTCTGGGGGGTGGGCAGCAGGAAGCATTTCCTCTCCGCATCTCCCATGTCTCCCTGTGAAAACACATCCTCCCACTCCTCACGCCCACCAGCCTCTGGCCGCCTGAGCCACGCAGAGGCCCCACCGGGCAAACCCCACCTGGCCATGTCCTTCCAGGTGACTGCCTCTGAGAGAAACCAGACTTACAGGCTGGGTTTTTGGCTCAGGCTGTTTGGAGAACTCCCAAAGAACTCAAACTTGAGGGTGAAAGGGGTCTGGATTGGGGAGCGATTGGTCAAGATGAGCTGGCGATTCACGCAGGTCCTCAGTGGCACTGTCGAGCCGAAGTCCAGGTGGAGCTCCTCCCTGTGGTATAGCCACAGCTCTGTGAGGGGACACTGCCCCGTGCCCAAGGGCACCAGGTTACACACCACCCTTGGTCCTGCCCAGTGAGCCACTTTGGGCAGGGATGCGAGAGCTGCCTAGAGACCAGGCTTTGTCCTTGGACTCACTTCTCGTCAAGCTGCTACCCCGCAGACACACCCTTCTTGTCTGCCCTTGATGCCAAGAGAGGCCTCAGACTCCACGACTCCCCCAGCCAGGAGCAGACTGGAGAGTCTCCCAATTGCGGGCCTCATGTGGAGAAGCCTAAGGTGCCCACTGCCCTGCCCCAGACATCCCCTACCTGCTTGGACACCATGCCTCCAAGTGGGGTGGGGGGTGGGGGAGATCACACAGAGGGCAAGAAGGGGCAGAGGGATCTGTTCCTACAGAGGTGGTCAGAAACCACGATTACACTGTGGCCTCTTCTTCCTGGCTGCAGGAATCGGTGGAAAGGAGGCAGGTACCACAGGGCAATGCTGGTTCTTCACACGGTCACCTGGCCCGGGCCCTGGGCTCACCTATCAGTGCCCTCTGTAGAGATGGTGATGTCCACTTGCAGTCCCTGGGGTTTCCCAGAAATGCCCAGAACCAGTGGTTCCTTCATGCCTGACACAGTACAAGGGAGTGCCAGATCCGTCAGCTCTTCCTAGAAGAAAGCCCGGCAGACGCGCGTCACCACAGGTAAGGCCCAGGGCTGAGGTGGGCACTCAGCTCACAGGCCTTGACTTCTGTCCAGGCTCCCTGTGGAAGGGCTTCCCATGCCCTCCAGTGAGCCACCATGCACAGGCCCAGCCTGCGGGCCCACACGCTGCCCCCAGGAGGCTTGGCCCCTTCCTCAGGGCTCTAGGCTGTGCCTGCTTCAAAGACCTGGGCAGGCCCGCATGAAGGGAGACCCTCAAAGTGGATCTCTGGAGAAGCTGCACGTTTATTCTGAGGAAGCTGCTACCACAGAAGTCAGACCCTTCCTGAGGGAGGTCTGCTCCTTGCCGGGCCAGGGTCCCTCCGTCTGCACCCTGAGCTCAGGCTCAGCTCTGCAAGAAAGCCCACTGTCCCCGAGTTGGCCAGTGAGGAACTTGGACCTAGGTCTGCAAATCTCTGAGGGAACAAGTTTCTTATTTACATGCCGCCCTGATGGCTTTGCTGTGGGCCGTGCCACAGAGACATTGTACCCTTCGTAGGAGGGGCCTGGCTGCCAGTCAGCCTCCCCAGCAACACCCAGCACAGGGCTCGCTGTGAGCAGCAGGTCTGCTCTGGATCTCTGGGCTTACTGGACAGCTGGGCCCACCTGTGGCCCAGAGAATGGCCTGGGGAGGGCTGCACTGATATCAAAGGCTAGACGTGGCTGGTGGGTTCCAGGGCACATCTGTTTCAGGCCTGCTCCAGGCTTCCTGATGGGGCTCCCAGACCCAAATGCAAGAAATCTCTTCCCCACTCTACTGGTTGACAAAGAACCAGGAGTGGGTCTGAGGCTGAGAACGCTGGTGGCACGGATGCAGACAGCTGCAGGGTGCCTTCCCAGTCCCTTGGGTGCCCTCCCACCCCTACTCACCTGGGTATGAGTAGTCAACTCCAGACTAAGCTGGAGCTCCTCACTGGGGCCCAGTGTGGCACTTCTGGGGGAGACCTTTGCTGTGCAGAAGCTTGCTTGGTGTCCCAGGAGCTGGAAGACACATGGGTGGGCCTTTTGTCATGTGCTAGGCTCCCAGGGTAGACCTGGAGTCCAGACAGAGTGCTCAGTACTGCTGTATGCTCTGCTGGAGGCTGGCAGACCAGGGCCCCACAGCAGAACAGCAGTGCCAGGTGCCCACTGGTGGGATAAACCACAGGTCGCTTCTTTCCTCCTCCACCCTGGATGGACCTCACACCTGTCAAGGGTTGCCTGGACTAAACAAGCCGCCCTAGGAGGCCCAGGGTGATGGGGAGCAAAGGGCAGCAGCCTCTGACGCACAGGAATGTGGTCCCATCTCCCATGGCATGCAGAGCAGGCTCCAGGCAGCACCAAGGGCAATGCCTCAGCTGGGCGCCTAACAGCCGTGTGGACCGGCCAGGGGCTACAGTCTGGCTGTGTGCATCAGAGACTCATTCTCAGGCAGGGAATCGGGATTCCCTGAAATCAGGCAAGGAAAAGCCAGACCAGATGTGCTGCTCTTTCGAAGAGCCCAGCTTTCTGGGCACTGTAGGCCAAAGGAAGGCTGTGGAGGAGGCAGCTAAGCATCTGCTCTGGGGGCAGGGGCGGGACCCTGGGACAATGTCTGCCTCCACATGGGCCTCTGGTGCTGAGGGGCTGCAGACCTGGTGCCGACAGTGTGAGCACACTCACCTCGCCCCACTGGAACTGGGTGGGCAGGAGTGTGCCGTTGATGAGCGTGATGTTTGCCTTCCTGGGTACGCCCAGGTAGAGGTTGCTGACCTCCACTTGGCTGCTCTTCAGATACACGTGGGGCTTCTGCACCTCGGCATACACAGGGAGGTAGCTAGAACATGGGGAATAAAGGCATACTGATCAGAAAAAAAAGAAATAAAACTGTCCCTATTTGCCGATGACATGATGGTCAATTTAGAAAATCCCGAGGAATCTATTTTTTAAAAACTCTTAGACCTAATGAGTCAGCAAAGGTAGAGGGTGAAAAATCAACAAATATAAATCACGCTTTTATGTTATCAATGAACATGTGGAAACGGAAATTAAAAATACAATATCATTTAGAATTGGTATTAGAAATGGTAATAAAAATTTTTATTGAATAAAAATACAATACCATTTAGAAATACCATTCAAAAATGGAAATACTTAGGTATAAAGCTAATAAAACATGTACAGGATTTGTGTGCTGAAAACTACAAAATATTGATAAAAGAAATCAAAGACTTAGTAGATGGAGGGACATGCCGTGTTTATGAATTACAAGAGTCAATATAGGAAAGATGCCAGTTCTCCACAAATTGATCTATAGGTATTAACACAATTCTTGACAAACTCCCAGTAAGGATTTTTGTACATACAGACAAGCTGATTATACAATTTATATGGAAAGACAAAAGACAGAATGACTAAAGAAATTTTTATAAAGAAGAAGATAGAAAATCACTCTACTGGATGTTAAGACGTACTATGTAGCTACAGTAATCGAGAGAGTGTGCTATTTATTACTGGAGGGATGAGCACAGATTGATGGAACACAGAAAACCTAGAAAGTGATCTACGAATAGAGATGATATATATTTTGCTTCTGATTTTTTATTTTAATTGTAGATTCACATGCAGCTACAACAACAACAACAAAATAGAGAGAGATACTGTATATCTTTCATCAGTTTCCCCAGTGGTTAACATCTTGCATAACCATAGTACAATATGGCAACCAGGAGATCAACATTGATACAATCCATCAATTTTATTCAGACCCTACCAGGTTTACATGCACACCTCATGCACACGTTGTTTTTTTTTTTTTGGTTTGTGTTTTGTTTTTTTGCTTGTGTCAACCTCCTATTTTATTTATTTATATTAATTTATTTTAATTAGTTTTAATTTGTGTATATTTGCTTCTATGCAATTTAATCACACGTCTAGACACATATGACACCACCATTCAAGACACAGAACGGTCCATCACAAGGATGCCTCACCGGACATTTTTATAGCCACAGTCACAGTCACTTCTCTCTCTCTCTTCCTCCCTCCCTAACTCCTGGCAACCATTAATCTGTTCTCCATCTCTGTAATTTTAAAAATACTATATAAATGGAATCATTCAGTGTGTCATCTTTGGATATTTGCTTTTTTTTCCCTCAGCATAATTCCCTTGAGATCCAGCCAAGTGTGGAGTGTATCAATAGTTTGTTCTTTTTTATTGCTGAGTAGTTAGTATTCCATGGTATGACTACACCAGTTTAACTAGTCTCCTGTTTAAAAACATTTGAGTTGTCTCAACTGATTTCTGACAAAAGGTGTAAAAATAATTCAGTGGGAGAAGGATAGTCTTTCAATAAATGAGATACTGGAGGAATTAAGATATCCACAGGCAAAAAATTAAATAAAATGAAGCTCTACCTAAACCTCACAACTTACTAAAAAATTAATTCAAAATGTATCACAAACTTCAATGTGAAATGTAAAACTCTAAAACTTTTAGAAAACAATAGGAGAAAATCTTTAGGACCCCAAAGTACAAGTCATAAAAGGAAAATTTGATAAACTGGTTCTCACCAAAATTAAAAAGTTTGGCTCTGTGAAGGCCCTTTCTTCTTCCAAAAGACAAAATTTTACAGACTGGGAGAAAATATTTGTAAACTACATATTGGACAAAAGACATACCTAGAATATGTAAAACAAAAAACAAAAACAAAAACAAAACCCTCTTAAAATGTAACGATAAAACAATCTAATCAGAAAACAATGTAAAAATTTCACCGAAGAGAATATGCAGATGGAGGGAAAGCAACCAAATAGATCTAGTCCTACATTCCTATTTATGAATGAATGAATGAATGAATGGAATGACTGGTGTAGCTGGCCAGTGTAGGTTTCCTCCACGGCTTGACTTGGACTGCTCTTCCCAAGGTCATCTTCCTTTTATGGAATTCAGGTAGCTGTGCACTGTTTCCACATATGCTTCACTCCTTGCTCTCCACACCTACACCCTCTTACTCAGAGGGAACTGGCACCACCAGGCTCTTATGCAAATCAACTTCCTCTTCCATTCAAAAACAGGAACGGGCAGCCAAGGATTACTAGATATAGAAGAAAAACCAAAAAAAGAGGACTCCAAACCAAAATGTGAGGAAACAAAAATTAGTTTCCTTGGAGAAATGTGAGACGCTGCTGGATCCATAAGATCATGACCGATCACTATAAAAAAGGCACAATTCAATAACTAAAAAGCTTGAAATTTTAAAATATGATTCCCAAAAGAAGGGCGTCTACCAAAGACTGAATTAGTGACCTGCAGGGCCAAGGCCATCTCCCTGAACAAAACACAAAAACACTGAGAGATGGAAAACATGAGGAAAATGGTTAAATTCATGTAGTATGGATCCGGCAAGATTTCCTACATGCTTCTTCTGGAGGTAGACCCTCCTCCTGTCACAAGGTGGTGGCACGTGGAGAAAGCCAGTTCCATTTTCCACTGAGGTTGTTAAGCTGGAAATATGTGAGCCTGGAGTTCTAAGTACCTGAATTCCCCAGGGCAGAGTGCCTAAGGGCGCTTGTCAATGGGAGAGAAAGGCCGACAGAGAGAGAGAAACAGAGTCGAAGGTTGAGGTGGCCATAGGGTAGAGGGAAGGCAGATGGGGAATGAGCGAGAAGCAGAAGACCAGACGGAGAAAAAGGCTGGAGCCCTTGGAATCATCAGGGCAGAAATGCCCAGTTACAGGAGCCACTGGTTTCCTTTTTCTGCCTAAGTTGGTTACATCTGTATTTCCATCGCCTGCAACTGTAAACATTCTGAGTGACAAAAGAAGAAAGAACAGAGGTATGAAAGGAAAGGAAGCCAGCAAAGATTTAATTACAGGCATTCTCCCTGAGAAGACAGACTTGACCTTCATATGAGGTCCACGAGGTGCCACACGTGACCTGTGAGGAAAAGAGTCATACTCAGACCTGTACTGATAGTTGTGGAAAAGCACATTCGAATGAGACACTGGTGGTGCTCCCTTGCACCCCACATCGGATGATAAAAAGTGAGATAATATCTGTCCCTGGGAGAGTGTGGTGTGATGGGTAGCTTCATACACTGTAAGCAAAAGTAAAAAATGGCACAGTCTTTTTGGAGGATAATTCAGGAGTATTTGTAAAGATTTAAAATGAGCATATAAAGAGGCATTTTTCTCACTCCGTTGAGATTTTGTTTCCAGGCATATTTTCCGTTTGGCTCAAATAAATTTTTATAAAAATTCTCCAAAAAAAAAAATAATAATGAGCATTTGTTTTCATAACGAAATACAAAATACATGCAAAAATGACTATAAAATGACAGTAAAAATGACAGTATAAATACATATACGGTTTAAAGAATAAAAAAAAAAACTTGTACTAATTTACATCCCTTTATCACGCACTAATTTACATCCCTTTATCACGCACACACTGGAAGGATACTAGCGAGTTATGGCTGCGTAAGGGATTGATTTTCTCCTGTAACTTCCAAATTTTATAGAATAAACATGTCTTGATACCTTTAAATTCTGAAATGTCTATAGATAAATACTTAATTACACATAATGTGATAACGCGGTGAATATGCAGGTGTGCTGTGCTGGCTCGCCCCCTCCTCACCACCTCCCCCTCGCCCTCACCTCCAGGCCCCGTCTACCACCTCCAGCACCAGAACGGTGGACAGACGCTGGCACTGCATGGCCTCCAAGGTGATGTTCACTCTGCACTCTCCCAGAGGGTGAACCTGGCCGCTCGAGGGCTCAATATCGAAAGGAGACACCTGATTGAGAGGTCAGAACAGAAAGAGAAGGGGTGAGGACACTTGGGATTGCAGAACCGGGGGCTGGCCATGCCCAACCAGGGTTATCCAAGAGCTGCCCCCAGCTCTAGGCGACAGGAGGCGGCAAGCAGGTGGGGAGCACAGCTCAGCGAGAGTCTCAGGATTCAGAGGACAAATACTGAGTCTCCAGGTGAGACTGGCCGTGATCTGAGAGAGGAACAAGGCAGAGGGAGGTGCCGTGCTGGGGGCAGTTACGGTGGCTCTCTGAGAGGTCAGCCCACCCCACTGAGCAGGCATAGGTCAGGACCCTGATGGCTTTAACCCATTTCCTGTTTAGAAAAAAAAAAGTGCAGCTCGCTGCCAGCGTTAATTTTACATAAACACATTCTCTGAGGCTGAAGCAAATCTAACTGGTTTTCAATGTGAAAATAAAATATAAAAACTGTTTTTGGAGTTATTTCTAAACAACTTGTATCTCTAATCCGAATGTAACAGAAATGTACACATACATCGGATTCATTGAACGAATCCCCGGCTAACAACTGTTTGAAAATGATGTTAACATACATGTAGGAATGCTACGTTTTCTGGAATTTGACATTTTCAGGGACCGAGAATTACTCTATTTTGTGCATAGAAATACTACTACTAGAAACAGAATGCTATAAACAGAATGATGTCATTTAGTTCCAGAGACTATCAATATACTAGAGCAATGCTAAAATAATAAGCAAAGCGAGATGTTTCGTGGCAAACTTTGGGGGTAAGGTTAGGACTGTAATCTGTGAGTTGTCTCTGGGTGGAGGCTGCAGCCACAGGTGCCGCCGGTGAGTATTCTTGGGGCAAACGGGAAAAGGGCTAAGTAAGAAAAACCATCAAGTCACTAAATTGGTGGGCGGAAATCTTCCACATAGCCACAGATTTCTCCCCGCCAGCAGGCTTGTACTCATTCACCTGGCAGGTCCACCTCCTCCCCGCACTCCAGACTCACAAAGGGAGAGGGGACAGGAAAAGGCTTAGGAAGAAGAACGTACCTGGGGAGGGCTCTAGTCTACCCCTCTTCCTGTCCTTGACTGCGATAAAAAGCACTAGTCTGACTGAGTGGCCCCATGGTCAGTGGGGTGTCACTGGTCATTGAGAGATCACACCCAGGAGGGACGTTATTCCTCTTTGGTCTCTTCCTTCCATGAGACCAACACAATGAGCATAGGGCACCCCACATGGGCCTGGCTCACCTTCTCCCACCCCCACCTCCCACTCAGGCTGCCACGCTATGCAGTCCTGGGCCCTGTGCTCTCATGCTTCTGAAGTTTCACCTCCCTGGCACTGGTGGAAGGGACCTGCTGGCTGTCACTAGAGGCTGCTTAGGCCTTATTCCCAGAAAAAGTGGCTTTTGAGTTCTGGCTCAAGTTTGGGGTCCACGCTCCACTTGTAAGGAAAGAGTCCTTCTGATTTCTTTGGTCTTTGTTCCTCCTGTGCATCTCCCTTGAAGCCCTGGGTGTGTGTGGGGCGGGGGGCAGTGGTGGTGGCTGCACTGGGAATTAGAGGCCTGGGGTCTCATATGATTCCGTCACTCATTAGCTGTGTGACCCTGCAGAAGTCCGTCCCTCTCTGTCCCTCCTCTATCAAAGGAGGAGGTTGGCTGAGGTTCATAATTTCCCAGCTCTGCTCTGGGAAATCCCAGGGATTCCTCAGAAGCGCCTCGGGCAGGGGACTGGGATGTGGGGAAAGGCAGGATGGCCCAGGGAGTGCCTAAAAAGTGGGTCTCTGGGTGGCCAGAGCAGTTGTATTTTATTCTAGATCTTAGGCCTCTAAGGTTTCACTTGAAGATAAGTTCCCTTTCTAATGACACTGATGCCATCCTGCCCTCAACCCCCGTCCCAGCCTTCTGTGGTTCCACGGTCCAGGGAGAGAGACCAGTGAGCCCTGGGAGGGAAAGGGCCAGCTCCAAGCCTGTGTAACGAGACACTTGGCAATGGTGTTGATGACTCAGTGAAAACTGTCATAGCTTCTGAGTTTCAGAGTGCCCAGCTAGAGAGGTGGGGCTGTCGGGTGAAGAATGGCCTTTGAGTGGAAAGTAAAGCCCTGGGGAAAGAGATCCTATGTTAGCAGATACGATTATGTGTGGCTGCAACAGTCTTTCCTTGGCTTCTGAATGTGGAAGTTCTGACCAGGAGGGCAAGTGGGCAAATCCTCAGCCCCTTTTAGTATTTTATATTTTATAGTAAACAGAAAAGCACTATCTGAGTGGACATGAAACTTGGGTTTTCTTTTTGGAGCCTTTGGGTTTGAGATGCGAGCTCGGGCACAATCCCTGGGAAGTTTGGAACCTTTGGGGTGAACCAGCTGGGCCTGTCGTTCCCTGGAAGCTTCCCACCCAGCTCAGCTACCTACTTTCTTCTTGACTCAGGCTGCTTGCTCTGACACAGAGAAGGAAACCCGTGTCCTGTGTCTGCATTATATGGTAGAGAAAGGAACAGGAAAATCCAGTTCAAGGTTCAGTTCTACTCCAGAAAGAACTCCAACTGCCTCATAGATGGGGAGAACTGGGGACACTGCCAGGCAAAAGTCACCAGGGAGGCTTTTCTTCTCCCGGCCTCAACCCTCTGAATTCCCCAGCACAAGTTTCACAGCTCAAATGTGACACAGGTGAATCAGCTCCTGGGGGGAGTCATGGCACAGGAGGAGCCGGTCAAGCCCGACTTACACCCTCATGCCTCTCTTGGAGGCAGACTGGACTCTCTTTCATGCACCACATGGCTGGGAGCGGACTGATGTTCTGGATCTGGATGGTGTTTGTGGCTTTCTGTCCCAGGAGCAGCAAACCAAACTGAAGGGCTGAGACGTCGATGACGAGGACAGGCCCCTGAGACACCCAGAGGAGCCCGTCACTGGGATACTTGGGAGTGGCCTCTGTGCCCTACCGCTGCCACCCGTCTGGCCCACCCAGCTGCCAAGCCTCCCGGCAGCACCTTGAAGGCTGCCTCAATGTGTAACACCACCGGCGAGGGTGAATCTCTGATTTCACACAGCAGGTCCTGGCTTACTGGGCCGGGGACACCCCCGGTAAACTTCAACTCGAAATCCTCAACTTCGTTGGATTCTGGAGAGACGGGGAAAGCGAGAGGTTGAGAAAGGAAGCAGGGGCAGGTTCCTTCTGTGACCGGGCCTGGAGGTCTGGCCTTTGCTGGTCTGTCATCCACGTGCGCCAGGCTGCAGCTGGAGCTGGTCACAGGACACCACGACCCCTGCACGGCGCCCTGTCACTCTGAGGTCTCCTTCCCCAGCTAGTCCCAGGCAGGTCACGACCCCTCCTGCAGTCCCCGCAGTACCTATGGTCCCTGTGCAGGGCTCCACTTCGATGATGTGGCAGTCACTGATCTTCCCCCACATGTATGTGATGGGTGACTTGCTGTTGTTCCACATCTGAAAGACACACCCCAATCTGGGCTCCCCGAGACTGCTCGTGCTTGTTAAAGGACTGCAGGATTGTGGGTTCACAAAGGGTCCTCCCGACGCCCGCCCCGCTAATTTCTAACCAGCCGACAGCACCAACACACGCTGCAGGGCTTGCGGGCACCGTGTCCTGCCAGAGACCCATGAACGCTGGAATGGGTTCCACAGCCCTCTCATCTGGAGGATGCTGGGAAGTTGATAAAATGAGACACACCCGGCCCAGCATCTGTGCAAACCAAGTTGGTTCAGGGGCCCTGGGAACAGCCTCATCCTCTGCCACCATCTGCCCCTCCAGCCACATCTTCCTTATACCCGTGCCCAAGTTCAGCATCATCTCAGCTAGCCTACGCTGGGGAGAGGGAAGGATGTACCTTAAAATCTTTCTTCACATTTATGCCAATGTAGTTCTCCCCAGGGATGATGAGAGCATACGGTTCTAAGAGAACCTGGAAAGGTTCTACTGAGCCTTTTGCCTCGATTTCCAGGACGATCACATCATCCACAGAGTATGACAGGTCTTTCTGGTTTTCCAGGTCTGAACTAAACACAAACCCACCATGAGCTAGGAGCTAACATAGGCTAAGAACATGGCCTTGCAAACCCCTTGCTTCTTTGTCTTGTGAAAACGTTCCCCAACCCACAGCTCCCAAGCCCCCTGAAATCTGAGGCATCAGCTAATGTCCTGAAACAGGGATGAAAGCCTGTGGCTGTGACAGCAACTCAACCTAAGGCCTGAGACAGGGGCACCTGGCTGCAACAGCCAGCCTGGAATTTCTCCCAAGGCTGGCTAGAGAGACCCGTCCTGATGGTCGCTTAGGCAGGAGCTGGTAGTGATGACTGGCATGGGACAAAACCTTCCCTCATTAGTCACTACCACCCAGGGGCCACCAGCCCGGCTGTCCAGGGGTAACAATGAGCTTGGGGCGTAGCTCTCAAAGTGCGTCCAGTGGGCTCTGTCACCTGCATGCTGAGCCCACTCCAAGCCTAGGTGCCAGGGTGAGGCAAACACGCTCCCTTGTCCGTGCCTGCTAGGGGTCAGGTGGCTCCTTCACTCCTTCGTGTTGCTTTCCTGAGGATCCCCATGGGGAAGGCAGGCCCTGCTGCCTACACCTCATCCAGGGCCCAGTCCTTGCTCACCTCACGGGCTCTGGGACTCCCTCTAGCACCATCTGGAGCACACTGTGAAAATCCCTCAGCTGCAAGACAAACACAGCACCTGCAAACAAACTGTATTCCAGCCAGGCGGCCCAGGGAAGGCTGAAGCCACGCACGAATTCCTCCCTCCTCTGGGCCTGGCCACCAGGAAGGCCTTCCCTGCGACCTAGGGGCAAGGGGGTGGCTGCCAGGATGTGTGGCAAGCCTACCTCAGCTGGGCCTGGGGGACAGGAACGAAAAGCTCTCCAGACCCCAACATTGCCCCTGGGCAGTGCCCTCCATGTGGGCCCCGGACAGCCGGTGAGGTGGCTGGATGCTGGGTTGAGAGGCAGACCTGTGCATCTTCCCAACAAGGGTTCCTGAGCACCCTCTTCGCACACGGGGCTTCGCAGGGAACAGGGAGCCGTGTTCAACTCACCCTCGGGAACCTGCGCCTCACTCTCTCTGGGGGCTGCTGGGGACTGGCCAGGGGGTGGGAACGTCCTCAATGACGTAGTAGAAACATGGAAGACCCCAGAGCTGAGACAGGAGCCCAGGGTCTTGCTGCTGAGGAGGTGTGTGCAGGATCAGGACTGGGCAGAATGAGTGTCCGCGTCCTGACAGCAAGCACATCCCTGAGCCCCACTCAGACACGTGCCGGCTGCGGCAGGGTGCTGGGGTTCTGGTCGGGCCCAACTCTGGCTTCGGTGTCACTAAGTAGCATGGACAGAGGGTGAAAAAACCCAATCACGTGTGACTGCCGAGATGGTGTCATTTTAACCTCGTGAGGAGAAAAGCCCAGGATGAACTCGTGGTCCGTGTGGGGGCAGAGAACTCCGCTCTCGGGTGAGATGGAGAAGGCCGTCTCCCTGTCAGGGTGGCACTTGATGCTGTCCATGCTGTAGGTTTCTCCGGGCATTAGAGGCTGCAGGTTGGGCTTCATGATCTGCCAGTGGAAGGCCAGCTCCACGTGCCTGTGAGGGCAACATTGACAGTTCCCGGCTAAGGATGGTCCAGGAGGATGTACGACAGCACTATCCAATATAACTTCTCACAGCGATGGAAATCTTTTATAGCTGCACTGTCTGATATGATAGCCACTAGCGGCACGTATGGCTTGTGAGTACTGACTGTGGCTGGTGCCACTGAGGAAGTGAGTTTTTAATTTGAATTGTAATTGATTTCCATTGAAATAGCCACATGCAACTAGTGGCTACCATGATGGATAGTGCAGATCTGGTCCCTTCCATTCTGTGCCCAGACTCCTCCCTGGCCTTTGGAAGGAAAGTGCCACCTCTCTGGGGACTTGGGGCCAAGTGAGGAAGAGGAAGGCTGTGTGCTGGGGGCTGCCGCACGGGGTCACTCACGTAGCATTTCTAATAATCAGCTGTCTCCTCGCCGTGGACTGAAGGTTTTCGGGCTCAAACCGTATGAAGTACTGGGCTGTTAAGTCTGTGAGCTCTCCAGGCTCTGGCTCGCTTTTTTCACCAGAAATGTAGATCAGATCCAAAGCAACCAGCTGCCCAACTCCTGACAAAATAGGGTAATGAAATTTCGCTAGGGCTAAAATCAGGACTCTGTAGCCAAAGGCTGTCACAAGACCCATGCCACTGTCCACGGGCAACTGGCTTTGATCATGACCTGGGGAAATGCACACGTGAGGAGGGTCAGGGGTCATTAACACAGAGATCCACATCTCCACATCTTCACAGACCAAATGGAGGTGATTCCGATAACCTAGCCCATCACAGGCACTCAATTAATGCTTGCTGAGTGAAACCGGATGGATGGAAGGAAGGAGAGAAGGAGGGAAAGAAGGGGCATCTTGGAGAAGTTCAGCAAGGTACCCCTTCTAACCCTACAGAATCCCCTGGGGCGGGGGGTCTCTGGTTGTTTATGTATTAGTCACTGGCTATTCCCCAAAGGAGATCAAGATGAGTTTCAAAGTGAAACGATGAAAGATTTCTCCCCAGGTTCCCATCTATCTCTCACTAGAAGGCTCCTTGGCATTGTCCTATAGGCCACATTGGCTTGGGACTCAAAGATCGGACCAGAGCGAGAGGCCCCAAACAAGGTCCTGGTGCCCAGAGGCCACCGCACCCCCTCAGTGTGCCCGGTGACACAGAGTGGGCACAGCTCCGCCACTACCAGTGCCAAGGAAGCAGCTTCCGGAACCCGGGCATCCACTCCAGCCCCACCACTGGGCACACACACAAGCCCACCTGAGATCACCAGCTCCTTTATCTGGCAGTTGTCGCACACGATGATGAAGGTCTGCTCTGCCTCCCCGAGGGTTGTTGGGAGGAACAAGACCTGGGAGAGAGAGGTGGCCCTGATACCTCCCATTAGGGGGCTTCCACCCCCACCTTCCAGCCTCTTCTTTCAGACACACACCCCTCCCTTGCTCTCCATTTTTCTCTCCCCTCCCTGCCGGCTCCCCACCTTCTATGTAAGGTTAGGGGTTTCAACCATGGCTCCACTCCTGAGTAACGCAGGGAGCGTGTTGCAAGGATATGAAGGGAAAGTTCACAGAGACCAAAATACAAATGAAAACACGTTTAACCTCACTCCTAATAAAAGAAACATGAATGAAAAGCACCTCAGAGAACAGGTTTTCACTCTTTATACTGGCAAAGAGCAGAAAGTTAGTTATCATCAATGCAACGATATGATACCTTGATTTTCTTCAAAATAATCTAGAGGGACAGGGTGGGGATTGGTTGGAAAAGACAGAGAGATGTAGATGCAGTTGGCTGACAGCTTATAAACGCTGAACCTGGGTAATAAGCACGTAGGTGATCATTAAACTATTCTATTTTGTATATGTTTCAAAATGTCCAAGATAAGAGTTAAAAAAAAAAAAAGTTTTATAACACACTGTACTGGCAAGAGTGTGAGGAAACAGGCAACCTCACGAGTTGGTGGCAGCATAATTGGTACAAGCCACACGGTGGGGATTTTGACAACACGCATCACAATTACGAGTAGAGACCCCTAAGTTGGCAACTCCAAGGACTGTCTCCTCCAGGAGACTCATACTTTGACAGACTGATGTATCTATAAGTTACTTGCAGACATAGCCAGAGATCAGGAAAAAAAAAATCTTCACGTCCATCAGTAGGGAACAGCTAAATTATGGTTCATTCTCACAGTGGAATACTATGCAGCTATAAAAAATGAGAATGATCCCTAAGATAGAGCATTAAGTGGAAAACACATGGTACAGGACAGAGTTTAGAGTGGGCAACTATGTGTGTGAAGGAAAAATGGAAACAAAGAAAAAAACATGCACATTTGTTTTTTTAGGCGTCAAGAAACCTGGTAAGATTGTGGCTTCTGGGTAGCCACAGAGAAACTGGGGTGAGAGGGAGAATTTCACTGTTTATCTATTTGTATCTTTTGAATTTTTAAATGTGAATTTATTTCTTATTTGGAAATATAAATAAAATTTAAAACAAACAAACAAACTCCCAACGATCAATAAACAAAATACATAAGAAATGAAAAGGGGGGTACCTCCTTTTGATTTACTGGTCCCCACAGACTCCTGCTGCTACCCTCTTCCTTCCTTGGGGATCACAGGAAGATGGCATCGGGGGACATCCTAGCCTGGTCACCCCAATTCCTTAAAGCCATGACAAGCCTCTGACAAGGCCTGGGATATGCCAAGAGGACCCAACCTGACCCTCAGCAGTAAATGGAGACTGACAAAGCCCTCCTATGCCCCTGAACTGGCCCCGTCCCAACCCCAAGGGCCTGATTCTTATGGAGAATCAGACCAGCACAGACATGGATAAGCCAGCATCGCCCCAGAGCTCCAGAACAAGACCCCATCAGGCACCTGAAACTGGAAGGAAGCTGATAAAGGAAGTCCTCCTTTATGCCATAGCAAAGAAGCTGATGGCAGTGGTCCTCAAACTTTGCTGCATACTAGAATCACCTGGAAAGCTTTAAAAGTCCTCTGCCCAGGCCACACACCAAACCAACCAACTCAGAACCTCGAGCTCACTTCAGTGTGTTTGCAAGTTTCTTAGGGGATTGAAAAGTGCAGCTGGGTTTGAGAAGCTATGGCTTTGGGCTCACTACCCAATGAAAGGTGCAGATCAAAGCCCCCCTCTCCCCAGAAACCAGATAGCTTTTACTCTTGCATGTTAGTGCCTCCCTCAGCAGGCTAGTGAGGAAGGCATGTGTGTGACAGCCCCACACCCAGCCACATGACAGCACAGTCAGACTCCTGGACCAGGGACTCAAAGACACAGCTAGGGGCAGGAAGACATCTCCATTTCTCATAGGCTCTTCTGGGGGTCAGTGAGTAGGTATGATGAGCCAAAGAGGGCAGTTGGGAAAGGAGAAGCCACAGCTGGGGGTCAGACTCAGAGCTTCCACAGAGGTTCAGAGTAAGGACTAAGGAAGGCAAGCCTTGGTGATGATATAGATGGGGATGAAACAGGAGAGAACAAAGCCACTGTCGTCATCTAGGTACTAGATTGAGGGGAGAGGTGTTCAGAAGAGACTGAGGAACCAAGGGAAGATCCTAGAGGCAGCTTTGATGCTGGAAGTAACTCCCAGGCTAAGTGTGGACAAGCAATGCTCAGGGATCATGCTGGAATTCTAGGGCGTTCTGCACTTGGCCTGTAAGAGCGGTCATAAGATAGTCAAATCACATCTCCCCACAGAATGCAAGAACATGCTCTTATAATGAAACCACTAAAGCTGGGACCTGGGATGGGAATGGATAGTTGACTCAAGAAAACACAGAGGCCAATGAAATCATGCAAGCAGTTGAGGCAATAGCCATCACCAGCCATAAGTAGGAGGAAATACATGCCAACATCTAATTACCTACCTCCACTAACATGGCCTGCCCTGGAGCCAGCTCAAACACCGAAGGCAGGATCCCAAAGGGAGGTTGCTCAACAAAGCCAATGGTTGCAACAGCCTTAAAAAAAAAAAAAAAAATCAAGAGATTGTACAACAGTGTGGAAGAAACTGTAAAATCCAGTGCTCATACTACAAACGTCTCTCCTCCAAACATCCAGTTTCAATGTGAAGGATCTTAAAGACCATCCGGTGCCCCATTAATGAAGAAACAGGCTCATTCATTCGGCAAGCACCCGCTCAACCTTCACCAGGCACCAGGTGAGGTTCTGAAGGTTAAAGACGAGTAAGTTGCAAAGCACCTGTAAAGAGCTGACCACTGATAGGGAGGTACAAGGAATTCCACTGACCAGTGTTTCAGACACTAAGCAGGAGGCACGAGAGAAGGCCTCACCCAGGAGGTGGGCTAAAAAAAACACAGTCCTTTCTCTCCTGCAGCACCCTATGTGGCTGGTGCCAGCCTATATGTCTGCCTGCATCCTGACCCACCCTTGGCTATAAGCTCCTGAGTCACGAGGGCAGCTGCCACCTTGTCAGGACACCGTTTAGCATGCCAGGGATACAAAACCCACGCCTACAGGACCCCGGCAGGTAGCAGCAATGAAAACACTGTCCTCCGGATCTATCACTTGTTTTCCCGAGACACAGGCACAGGAAAACAGCGTAAGGAAAACAACGGTGCAAGCGTGATGATCAGTGCCTGGCTGCTGTGGGGAGTCATGTTGCTGGGCAAACAGGAAGGAATGTGCGTGTGCCCTGTATCCTCCTCCAGCCAACAGGGCCGCCGTGAATCCTGGCCCACGGCTACACATCTTCCAAATTTTCCAGAGACTGGAAATGCACATTTTGATGTGAAATCTCCCTATTTGTAAATGTTGGTTCAAAAAAAAAAAAAAATGTTTTTAAGCACTGTGCCAAATAAAATATGCCCAGAGAATGCAGCCAAAGAGCTGCCAATTTGTGATCTCCGAGGATAATGTTTGCTACGATAATAACTGACTGAATAAATAAATGCATTGAGCCAGGCCTTGAAGGATAAGGGAAGTGATACAACAACTCGCCCAGGGTCATGGTGTGTTAGTGGCACAACCAGAGTACGGCGCTGGTCTCCACACACACCGGGTCTCATCTGGATTGTGACCGTTGGATACGGAGGTTATAAAATTCTGCTTTCTGTCTGTTTCCAATCAAACGTGCACTCTAGCAAGTCCCTCACAGGGGGGTCATTTCCTTTTTCCAGGTTGAGCAATCCGTGATCACTCACCCTGAAACTCGACGGCGGCCAGCTCTTTTTAGGCATGATACAGAACTTGCCGACACTGAAGCCCACATTTCTGCAGAGGAATCTGGTCACTTTCACTCCCCCAACGAGGCAGTAACCACAGTCCAACACGGAGGACACTGCAGCCAAAGGAAAAGATGGTCAAGAGAAATAACACGTCACTCTGAATAGGTCCTACTGTCATTGTCCTCCTGAGAGCAAGCCAGAGCGCAGAGAAGCTGTGGAAGGGTCCCTGCCTAGCCCCCAGGGCAGAGAGGATGAATGGGGACATGGCCTGAGCCCTGCTCCCATATGGCACCAGTGTCATAGGACCATAAACACTCCTGGCTAGAGCAGCAGGAGTCAGCACCTACTGTAGACTCAGGACGCAGCCAGGGCCACCCAGCATGGCCCTGGAGGTTGTGGTCAGAGTCCCGACTTCTGGCCAGCGCCTAGCTGAAGAGGCTTGTAACTGAGGGAGCCCCGCCAAAGCCAGGTTTCCCAAACAAGCCACCCCCCTCCCCCAGCCACAGAGGCAACATCTGCTGAGGGCTCCAGGTAATCTGGCGCAGGGCCAGCAAAGCCTATGCTGGGGGGTTAATTGGGCTGCTGGCCTTTGCCCCTGCTGTGGTAATTCAGAGTCAGCCTCTGCTGGGAACCAGGAGGATCTGGGCCAGCTATGGTGGAAGACTGTGCAAAAGCTGCTAGCAGGTCCCTCCTCGGGAGCCAGAAGCCCCTGCCAAGCTGTGTGCTGCCACAAAGGGGCCCTGAGAGCAGGCAGTCCTTAAAGGGAATCACCAACTCTAACTGAATCCCTGGGGAGGCAGAGCGCACACTCACGAGTCAGCACTGGGGGTGGCCTCCGGGCCTGGAGAGGGATCACAAGTGTGTGGGCTGACTGGGTCTCGACTAAAATATAATCATCAAAATCCCCAAGGCAGTCTGGCAAAAACTGGACGACGTACTGGCAAGTCATTCCAGGAGCCACCATTCCACCTTTTCCTGGGAACATCCCTATGGGCGACAAAAGCAACAAATGAGGATCTGGAGACTAGCCAGCCACCAGGGCTTGGGCTCAGGTGCTACAGGTGACAACCAGAGGGCACAGGGAGATCCCATCAGAGCTGGGGCTGGCTCTGTGAGTGAATGCCTCCTGAGCCAATGCCATGCCGATGGCAGAACCACCAGGGCAGGCGAGGGGAGCAGGCTGTGAGGGCGGGGACCCAGAGGGGAGTGATACGGTCCCTACAGAATGGTTAGGTGGGGCCGTGCCTGGCTCTGTGATTTAGAATTTATTTTGTGGGCAGAAGAGAGCCATCTATGATTTCTGAGCTGGGGTGACACAATAAGAGTGGTTCTTGAGAAAAACACTGCGGGAAGCCACCGTAGCGGTTTAAGTGAGGAACATGGAGGGCTTGCCCGAGGGCAGTGACGGCACGAAGCGGGAGGAGATGGCAGAACCAGAACCTGGTGGGAGGTGGTCCGAGGAAGAAGCTGCCAAGGCTCAGAGGCTTCACCGAAGGAGCAGGCAGCTGCGGGCAGGTAAGGGCCCCCAGGGACCGGGGGTGGGGGTGGGGGTGGGGGATGTGGGCCAAAGCCCAGGACACGGGAGCCATGTGAGGGCCTGAGGGCCAGGTGGGCTAGGAGCTGGGAACGAGCCCAGCACGTAATTTTGAAGCAGTCTAGACAGCGGCTACGCCGAGCTCACCCAATCCCAGAGAGAAGTACGGAGTAGAAGGTGGAAGGACTCTCAGGTAGCGGCTGGTCGCGGTGGTGTTCTGCAGGGAGATCACCATCTGTTCAAAGGGAAAGGTGAGCTCTTTTAGACAGCAGAGTGGATGGATGAATGACAGGAGGCCTGGGATTTACTAAATCATATGGGAGGCGGGTACGGGTATAAGTGAAATAAGGATGGCCACGTGTTGGTAACTGTTGAGCTGGGTGATGGGTACTCAACAGTTACCAACACGTGGCCAACCTTATTTCACTTATACCCGTACTTGCCTCCCATATGATTTAGTAAATGCTATCTCTCTACTTTTGTTTCTTTTAGGAAAAAAAAATAAAATACCAGGTTGACATGAAGGTGGGAACATATCTGACCTCTTCTTTGTCCTGTTTAAAATAACAATTGTTTACAGAGCATCTGCCATGTGCCTGCTCAACCTTGCAATAACCAGGGAAGGTGGAGACTCTATTTTACATGGAAGTTCAAAGAGGCCCCTTATCTGGTAAGTAACAGGGTTGAAATCTACACCCAGGACATCTGGCTCCAGAGTTCTGCCCACCCCACCTCTTACTTACTGTCTTCTTCCTCACATATCCCTTTGGGCCACTTCTTCCCATGGGCCCAGTCGAGAGGTGTTAGGGGTACCTGTACGCCAGGGTTGTAGCTCGGTCTCTCTCCTTCATTCAACCCATCCAGCCCCCACTTAGCCCCGCCTCCCAGACTGGGAGACCCCTAAGGGGAAGGCCCGGAACTCCCACACTGCTGAACTCCATCATCACCCAGCACAGCACCTTACGCAGAAGAGGAGCTCCATATATGCACACATCTTTTGTTTTTATTTTATGAAATCTTATACTGGAAAAACATGCATAAATTATAATATAACAAAAGCCACATTTCCATCCCTTGGCTTATGAAATAAAACATTAAAAGTACAAAAAAGCGCTACCCCAGACCCTAACCAGATGACAACTACATAAATTTGAAGTATGTCTTCACACTATTTTATTCACAGCTATGTACCCTTAAATCAACATTTAAGTTCATTTTTGGCAGCTCAACATACTGCACCAATCTATCGATGAACCAGACCCAACTGTGGACAGACCCATATTGTAATTTTAATTTTCATTCTGTTAGTAATGATGATAAGCATCTTTTTGTATGTGTATCTGCCATTTGGGTCTCCTCTTATGTGAGCTGTTGATTCATATCCTTTTAGCATTTTGACATTGTGTACTTTGTCTTTTTCTTACTAATTTGTAGGAGTTCTTCACATATTCTGGTTACTAATTCTTTCTAAGGTGTATATTATAAACACCTCCAAGTTTATAACTTGTTTTATCTCCTGATATACAGTTTCTAAAATTTTAATAATAAAATATATCGACTTTTATGGTTTGTGCTTCAGTTTCAAGAAATCTTTTTATATCTTCTATATTTTCTTCTTAAATTTTTGTTCTTCCACCTTGAGACCTCTGCTGGAAAAAGTATTTTGTTTGGAGTATGGAGTGAGGTAGGGATTGTTTTCCATATGGCAAGGATACTAAACTCAGTTTTGTCTTCTTAGGTCTGCACACGTGCACAGAACAGCCCGTCCCCACAGTCAGGCTGCTGTTCTCTCGGACACGGAGCTGCTGCTGTCATTACAGATGGAGGTGTTCACGGGGCAGCTGCCTCTCCTGTCGGCTGAAGCATACTTCTGGACAGCCTTGCTCCCAGCCACATGAGGCAAACCTCAGACCAATGAAAAGCAGGAGCCAGCCATTTATGTGCTTTCTAGGGGATGTCCCACAAGACAAGACAATCCATTGCACTTAATGGCAGTCAGTTCAATAATATTCTCCTATCGGCTCTCCCTCCTCCCATCCCCTTTCCTCATTCCTCCCTGGAATTGTAAATGATAGCGCACGACCTCATCACCTCGGGCTCTGCTTTATGGAAAACCTAGTCTATGATCGTTGGTATCAGAAGGGTCCTAAAACAGCAGACCCTTAGGATGTGATTCCGGAGTTGGCTTTCTCACCAGTCAGGCGGCAATAAGAACTGTAGCTGGTGGGAAGTAGGGTGTCATGACCCTTGGTATGCAGCGGCATCACATTTACTAAAACTTTCGCCCATGGTCAGTTGAAATGAGGTGCAGGTGGAGGTGCACTGAAATATGTGGTAGCTATGGTCGTGGCAAGGTCTGGGGCTGCGATAATTATAAGAGTTGTGGAGTGGGCTGGCTTTCCTTAACAGCACTGGGAGCCTTGGAGGAAAACATGATAGGCCCAGGGCAGTCAACGCCAACTCAAGGCCAAGTGTGAAGACGTTCCTTGCATTCCCGGGTCATACACAATTTTCTCCTGTTGTATGCATGTGCCTGTACGTGTGTGTGTTTCTTCTTGCTTGATCTGGTTTGCTGTTTTTTACCTAGTATTTCTATACCTAGGTTCTTTTTCATACATATAATGTCTTTTAATTTACCAAGATACTGTCTACAGCCATGCTACCCTGAACAAGCCCGATCCCGTCTGATCTCAGAAGCTAAGCAGGGTCGGACCTAGTTAGTACTTGGATGGGAGACCACCTAGGAAGACCAGGCACTGCAGGTGTAAAAAATAAAAAAAATAAGAGATCATAAGCTGACAAGGTCCTTGCAATCTGTGAGGTCAACGAAGGGTTGCCTCACCTTAAAAAAAAAAAAAAAAAATTACCAAGATACTGAAAGAAAACAAAAGAGCAACTATATGAAATATAGGAATGCCCTGGCTTATAAGGTGCAGGTCTCTATTTCTACCATCACTTTTTTTGCCTCCAGCATCCACAGTCCATGATCTATTCTGCTCCCATCTCAGGACAGAGAAGCTCTCACACAGCTTCACGAGCCTAGGGAATGGGAGTGCACCAATATTCTTTAGCAAGACTGGCTTGTGTTTTTCATTTTCTTAGTCCTGTATCTGGCTTTGGTATCAAGGTAATATTAGGCTCTGCCTTGGTCCATTAGGACTGCTGTATGAAATACCACAACCTCAAGCCTTTTGAGCCTCTTCCAATCTGGACTGGTTGCCTGCTACACCTACTATTAACTATTGCCAAGGATAACCCCTGTAGCAGTTTTAAGACACGAAACAAGTTCTCGGACATCCCCTTTATTGAGAAGAAAGGTCTACATATCTTTCCCTGGAATCTGGGCCAACCTTAGTGACCCTTTTGCAACCTGTAGTATGCATAGGAAGTAGTGACTTTCTCTACCACTCCAAGGTAACCTCCAAAGTTAGGTCATAAAAAGTGATGCAACCTCCAGTTTGCTTGCTAGGATACTTAGAAGCTCGGACATGCACTCTGAGCGACCAGTATAGTCTGATTGCCCTGAGGTGGCCATTCTGTGAGGCACACGGAGAAGCCATGTGGTGGTGCTCTGGTACACAGCTGCAGCTGTCTGCAGCCAGCATCCACTGCTCTGTGAGTCAAAATGCCTCAGATAATTCCAGCCCCAACTATCAAGTCACCCTTAGGCACTGAATTTTTCTACGGCCTCAAACATCATGGAACAAGCCATTCCCTGTCTGATTTTCTAATCCAAAGAATCCGTAAGCATGATAAAATGGTGGTTTTAAGCTGCTTAGCTTTGCAGTAACACTAGCTGAACAATTCCTTAACCATTATTAATCTGGGGGTTCCCTTCACCTCTCTCCTCTGTTGGATCTCTTTTTCTTGCTTTCCTCTTCCTTGGTGTACTAGCTTCTGTAAGGGAGCATGTTCCCTAGGAGTTTCCTGAGAAATGGTGCATAGGACATACATTTTTAAAGACTGCCAATTTGAAAAAAAATTTTTTTTTTCATCTTTAATTTTATAGCTTAGCTGAGTAAAGAACTGTTAGGTACACAGTCATATGCCCAACAAAAGTAAGGTGCATTTCCAAGAGACATCACTAGGTATAATTCGATTTATATAACAGAATGTAGTAGACTGTGTTTCTGTTTTGGAAAGGCTCGCTCTGGGGAAATCAGCCACTGTGCTCTGAGGAATGGGAAGGGGATGGAAGGGAGCTAGGCTGATACGGAGAAGCCATAGGGAGACACCCATGGGGAGGGAAACTGAATTCTGAGCTAAAAGCCAGATCAACCACCAGACATATGAGTGAATAAAACTTCAGATACTTCTGGCCCCTAATCTTCCGGCTAAGACCCCAGGCATCACAGAGTACAGATACACCTTCCTCACTGTGGCCTATCTGATCAACAAATGAATGGCTGTCTACTCTACTAAGTCTTGGGGCCATTTGCTACATGGTTATAACACTGGAACACTGACTATATTAAAATAGAGAGCAATGAAAGTTGCCCTTAAAACCATGCCAGAGAGGACCATTTCAAGTATTTTTGTTAGCTTTCTTACTATGAAGTACTTTTAACAGTACATTTTCTGTTCTTAAGCTCAGAAAATGATACATCTCGGATATATGCCTCCTGCTACAGAAATGCTTAGAATCCTACAACTGGACATCCAGCCATCAAGGAGATCTGACCCTGAGGCTCATTAAAAAGCCACTAAATGCAGATATTTCCAGAAGTAGAACTTTATTCCAAGATTCTTCAGATGACTGTGGGAGAAAGGAGCTACCAGCATGGAATGGGAGGAGGCACTGTGGAATCAGACCATAATTCGAGGTATCAGTATGAAGTTACGATTTTAAATATTACGTACCCATGTATGGATATAAGAATGTATATGTGGATACATACATATGCATATATGTGGGTGGACCTATGAAATTGCCATTTTTTCCCAGGTCTGTCCACTGAAAGGACCTAGAAGCAATGATAGTCCAGAAGCAAACGGCAGATTTAGTGCTTAGATCTTGGTTTCTAAATGCCACGCTCCACTAAAAGAAACCAGGGCTTCTTAGAAGCTGATTCTACAACTGCAGCAAAGAGGGTACAGGATGAACCTGGAACATCTTGCAATGCCAGAATGTAAGGAAGTACTCAAAAAAAAAAAAAAAAGGAAGAAAAGATTAAAAATCAAACAAACAAACGAATAAACAAACCACTGATAGGATATGTTAAAGGGACACAGGAT